CATTTGGGGGTAAAACGACCCTTTTACAGAGGTCGCCTAAATACATCCTACCTATCAGATATTCACATTATAATTCATAACAGTAGCAAAATTACAGTTATGAAGTAGCAATGAAAATAATTTTATGGTGGGGGGTCACCACAACATGAGGAACGTATTAAAGGGTCGTGGCATTAGGAAGGTTGAGAACCACTGTTCCTGTGGAATCACTGAGTGAGCAATTGGATGTTCTGGTCTGTAACTCAACATGGAAGCCTGAGCTGGAGACAAAGGACTCAGAAGTCATGTCACCTAAGGCCAGCATTCATGAACGCAAGTACTTAGAACACGGTACAGATAAACCACTCCACCTCACTCCTCCTAGAAGACTCCCTCGTACTGTCATCAATGGATACACTGAGGGAAATGGTGACCCAAGTGGCTTTGCAAAGCAATTTCTGAAAAAGTCAAACTGACTAAGATAAATTTGTTCTGTTCCTATTTGGAGAATAATGAGATGTTACCTTTTCTTCCAGTGATTTAAAAAATATACACATGTATGGTAAAGAAGACATCGTAGTTGAGTGGAAAGGGCTCTGAAATGTTCAGAGGCGCAGAATTGAGTGCTGGCTCTCCCAGGATTTCACCTTGTGATTGATTTTGGACAAGTTGCTGACTCTCTGTCTCTTATTCTCTCTGGGCATAGACTTCTACATTAGCAATGACTTCTAGCGCTTTGAGGTCTTGTCCAGGGACCCTAACCTCTAGTTTGTCCCCAAAGCAGCCGTGAGACTGCAGAAAGCGCTGTCAGTTCCCAGTCTCTTCTCATGTCCTTTGGCTTCTCATTGTAAAACAGGAGGGGTGGATTCTTGCCCCATCCGTCCATCCATCCATCCATCTTTTATAAAGTACCTACTATGTGTCTAGCGTGGTTTTAGACGAAACAGACAGCTAGAGTCCTTGTTTTCCTTTCATGATTTCTAACTGTGATTTGTATGAGTTCATCGAGTGCTTGTTTATTTTTTCCCCCTTTCGTAACATCTTTCAGTTGGGCTCAGAGTTTAGAGGACAAAAATGAATATGTACAGCTCTGATTCAGCAAGTTACCATAGTTCTTTGTGATTTTTTTTTTTTTTTTGGCTCAAGGTCAGGTTCAGAGCCATCTCTTCTTTTTATTTAATGTGATTATTTTGTGTTCTCTTCTCCCAGATTTGCCTTTCTAATTAAATTTCACCCACATAGATGGGAAAATGAGTTTTCCCTCCCTCGTTGCTCTCAGAAGGGGGAAGGGACTTGTATAATAAGCCTGCTGGGGTTGAGGAGAAAGGATTGCAGCTGGTGGTAAGCAAAATGAATCATGCATACATAAATAATAGCAAACAGACCACCCTGGAGCTGGGAGGCCGGGATTGCATATTTAAAAAACATACGTGTGTTAGGGAGAATGCAGCATTTCTGCAGGAATCTAAGAAATGCCCTTTACCCTTTTGCAAGATATTTATCTCCTTGAGTCCCTGGGGTTGCCAGGAGTAGGATAGAAATGTTGATGGGACAATCGAAGAAACAAAATGGAATTTAAAAATCATATTTATCTGGATATTGTCGACACAATAGAAATGTTTTGTGTGGATGTATAAATTCCACTGCAAGAGAGGACTGAGAGCCGTGTTTTACTTAGAACACGGCACAGATAAACCACTCCACCTCACTCCTCCTAGAGGACTCCCTCGTACTGTCATCTGTTACCTCAGTCTCTGTCCTAGCCTGTGTATCTTTCTCCAAGGCCAAGTCCCTTTACGTGCAGGGGCAGTAGCCCATTGTTCCTCTAAGTCTACAGTTCAGGATAAAGGAGGCTGTGCAAATATTTGTACCATTTTTGATTAGTGTATTGAAACTGACTGGAAAATGGGCACCTGCTCCTAGCTGCTCACAGTCTAGGCAGGGATTAAGACTGTAAAATGGCAGCAAAGCAGAATATTTATGACTTGGGTGAGCTGGGAACTATTTTTATAAGATGGGTAGACTCAGCTCTCCATGAATTTTGAGGGTTTCTTTGCAGGCTGAGATGTGAATGTGGAAAGGACAAAGGAGCAGGATGGGGGTGGGGGGGAGATGAAAGTTCTGAGCACATGGCATTGCATTTTTTCATTTCTACTCAGTTTACAGTCAAAATGGGCATGCCTCACTCCTCTGTCAGATGAATAATGAAAACAATAACTGCTATTTTGCAAGAACTGATGTCCCAGGCGCTATGCTAGGGGCTTGCCCCAGTCAAGATGCCGTTCGTTGCAAGGGACAGGAAAATTCAATTGTAATTTGCTTGGGGGAAAGTGGGGAACTTATTGGAAAGAGTACTTGAAAAATCCAGTGGTACGTAGCATACAGGTTTTAGGCATGAAAGAAAGCTTCCTTTCTCTCGCCTTTGCCTTCCTCTGTCAGCTACCATCTCTGGCACAGTCTCCCCAGGTGCTGGGCAGATGATCACCAGCTGCTTCAGGCTGACATCCCACCTCTTCATCAACCACAGTGAAAGGAGATGAAATGGGAATAATGGTCTTGAATCCATACAGTCTTGAGTATATCTGGGAAAATGTATGTTTTCCATATATGTTGTCCCTGTAGGAAGACTTTCTTTTTCCTTCCCTGTAACCCCTTCCTCCTTTAAAGCTCAGCAGGTACCATTTAAACCCAAAGTGTACAGAGAGAAAGGAGGGGACTCCTTCTGCGGAGTGGAAGATGACATAGAAGTTCTCAGGAAATAAGGGGTGTGAGGAAAGAAACCAGAGGGGATGAGTCTAGGAAGAGTATGATGCCTGATCTTGACCCTGGGAGGGGAATGGCATAAAGACAGACACCCCAGATAGACTGAGGAGGAAGCTGAAGGCTGACAGGAACTGTGCCCCACTTCCATCTGGGACTTTGCCCCCCAGGATGCCCTGTGCCATCACAGGAGAGCTGCAGCAAAGTGAAGGGTTGGTGTGGCAGATTTTACAGAGAAACGGTTAGAGATGGTGTCCCTGAGTCACCATGAGTCCCCTGGTGACAGAGAAAGGATCCAGAAGTGCTCATCCATGTGTTCCCCATGGAGGGTGAGAAAGTGCTCAAGAGAGAAGGAACTGGCCCACATGGAGTCTCACGGCTGAGGGAACAGCACAGACAGGTGGCTCATTCTGCCAAACAGAGCCAGGCCCAAGGCTTATGAAACAGCTGGCAAAGGGAGGCTGTTCTTCTGCTGGGATTAGAGCAGCAAGCCTGCAAGCCAGGGTCTGCTGGGCTCTGCCTCGGGCCTGACAGTGCAGCTAACGTGGAAGAAAGCAAAGCTGAGACCCTGGGACTAAATCCAGTCCAGGCCTGAAGCAGACCTGCTTTTCATTTACAGAAGCCCATCAGTTCTTTAAATTCTTCTTCTCTTCTCCTTTTTGCATAAACTTGCACGAATCGGGATGTCTGTATTTTACGGCAGAAAGCCCCCACTAACCTGTGTAGCGGGAGGTAGTGTGAGCTGAGAGGCAGAGCCTGGAATTGGTGAGGCACAAGCAGAAGCAGACTGCAGAGGGACACAGGAGAAAGGTTGGGTGGTGTGGTGTGGGCTGTAGAGGCCATGGAGAGCCAGGCTGGAGAGTTAGGGGTGATGCTGAAGTGGACAGCGAAAAGATTTGCATTCAGAGATCAGGAGAGGCTGTGCCAGTGTTCCGGCAGTTAAGAAGGCTGAGGGCAGCGTGCATCGGGAGAACACGAAGAGGAGGTCTGGTTAGAGGACCTCTGAGGCAGGAACTGACTGGCCATTAAGTTTTCTGGTAAGGAAGGCATCCCAGGTGGCTGAGAGAACGGCGAGACCACAGGGGTAAATGGAGTTGGGCGTTGGAAAGACGCAGGATTTTGTGCTGGCCGCTGTAGTTTGAGGTGGAAAGTTCTAAGCAGAAAGCCGAGAAAATTATGGATACAATATCTGGGTCAAGTGTGTGGATTTGAGGGCCATCAATAAAGGTATAAAAGAAGTCCAGTGAAGAGCTCCTCCCGAGAAAGCGCGCCTCAAAGGGAAATAGCGGCATTACCCGTATTAGTTTTGCCCAGGGTGGTTGTAGTAGGGCACCTGGGGTCACTGCCGACCTGGACTGAGAGCAAAGGCCTCTCTGACAATCGTTGTAGGTCCGAACATCTCCCACAGAGAAATTCTGCAGATAATCTCACCAGACGAAACCCAACATTTACAAGAAACCACTCACAATACTGGATCAAACCAAGAACGCGGGCCTGTGGGACATCTAACAGGAAGTGACAGCTATCAGTCGAGCGCTCTAGGGACCTTCCCCAGCTGTCCCGAGGAAGCCGCGGGGCCGCGCCGGGGCGCAGAGGGCGGGTGCGCGGGGCGCGACCTCCCCGGGTACCCGCAGGCCGCTGCAGACTGAGCGGCAGCAGCGAGGACCGGAGTTGACACACGGCCGGATGTGGTCCGAGCCGGAAGAGAAGTGTGGGATAGGCTGAAGGGGGTGGGGCGGCTCAGAAGCGAGAATTGGAGAATCCTGACAGTTTGGGTCCACGTGGCAGCCAGCGGACCCAAACACGTGCGCCCACACAGGCGTCAGCGTCGGCGGCGCGGGGACAGGCACATGGGCCCTAAGCACCCACACCGGGACCCTGGCCCAGGCCATGCCTGTGTACCCGGGCCTTGACTCGCGTCCGCGCAGTCCCTGATCCCAAGTCTGGCGTTGCCAGGCGCACAGCGGGCCTACGAGTCGGTGGCCGCGGTCCCCGCGTGCTCGGGCCGTGTGTGCTTATGGCTTTCGTAAGGCTGCATCTCCGCAAACTAGCACGTGTGTTTGGCCTCCCAGAGGCAGCGTCCTCTTCCCAACCACCAACCCCGCGCGCAGGGCGCGGACTGGCCAGTACCGCAACACAGCCTCGGGGGCGGAGCTCCAGGGCGCCCGGCGCGGGGCGGGCCGGACCGCAGCGCGGCGGGGCCGGCAGGGGGCGCTGCGGGACCCTGTGCGGCCGGGCAGCCCGTGCGCGTTGCGCTCACCTCCCCTCGCGCCGGGAGGAGCTGGCGGCGGGCGCCGAGCTGGGCGCGCAGCAGCCGAGCCGGGACTGAGAAGGGACCATGGGCTGTGAGTGCGGCGCGGGCCAGGGCTGGGGCGGTTGCCGTTGGGTTTGAGCGGCGCAGAAGCTCGAGGCGGGCGGGCCCAGGCTCCGGGGCTGGGAAACTGACAGGGGTCCCCTCGGCGCGCCAGTGAGAGAGGGGCGGGGAGGCTGGGGCAAGCCTGGGTTCTGAACCTAGAGGCTAAGCCCCCTCCTCCACCCCGGCCTAGCCCCTGACTTGCACCCCCCCAAGCCACTCCCCCTCCCGAGCTCCCAGTGTCCGTCCCCCCCCCCCAACCCCTCTCCAAGCCGCCGCGCGTCTAACCCTCCCTGCAAATCCTCGGCTCTCTCTCCAAGCCCTCGCCCCGCGCCTCTTCCGACCCTGGTGCCTCCTGCTTCACTGGCCCTAGCTCCGCGCCTCTGCTGCGGAGCCCCTCCAGCCTTCCTTCTCCCTCACTGCCCCCGCACTCTTGCCACCGGATTCCAGCCCAGATTCGAGCTCCTGGGATCCCCTTTCTTAGGTAATTCCCGAACCGGCTTGTCTCTCGGTAAGAAGGCGGCCGGAACTTCTCCGTGGCCTTTCCCAGGGGGTGGGGCTGGTTCCTTTCGGCAGGTACCTGCCGCCCGGCGCCTGGCGGAGTCCCGGGGCCAGGCGGGGGTCGGGGGTGGGGTGGGGGCGTCTCTACTCCCTGGTTAGCATTCCTGGATGTTCAGGTTAGGACTGCACCCTTTAGGCCCCATGGCGTTGCTTTTGCGGGTGAGCTTTCGTAGGTCTTGATCTTTGTAGAAGCTGGCTTTCTCATATACAGAAAATGGATTTGCTTAGAGGTTGCTTTCTTTGTGACTGCAGCCGCCTTTCAAGTTGTACCTGTGGATAGTAAAGGATTAGAGGTGCAGGAGGACGTGGAGCCATATTTTCCCCCTTCAGCCGTGCGTTCAGCGATTGCGAAGGGGCTCCGTGGAGAGTGGGGGTTATCACTGCCTGGGTGGCCAGGGTCTTCGTGGAAGAAGGCAGAGGTGCTTTGCAAGCATTCAACAAGTAAGATCAGGGGAGATGAGGAATCACATCGGACTGTGAATGGGGAAGAGTGTATGTGTGAGTGTGTCGAGGTGGTGGCCAAGGGGCTCCCATGGGTCTCCACAAGTTGGGGATATTTGTTGGTATTTGCAGAAAGCCCGCGGACGTGGAGCGAGCAGTGCTGAGCTCACCTTTTCAAACGTGATGTGACTGTGGTCAGGCTTGGCAACGACTGCTTCTCAGAGGTATTGGCTCCCAGTCCAGACATCTGTGGGAAGTGGGTTTGCAGCAGATGGCTTGAAAAGCCTAGTGGTCCCTGGAGAGAGGTGGAGATGCACAGCCGCAGCCTGAAAGCCAGTGTGTGAATCTGCCCTATCCCTTCTCCTGGTTTTCATTAAATCTTGTTTTAAATTAATTGCCTATTTCAGAGAAAGGACATATAGGGGGAACTTCTCTTTGGGGAATGGCTCTTGGCAAGCCCACTCTCACTGATGCCTTGGGAGGCAGCTTTGGGCACTAGGGTCAGGATGGACCACCTGGCCTTAGGAGGGCAGCATTCTGAGCATTTGCAGAATTGCAGAATTGGCAGCTCTCTTTCTATTGAGCGGTGTGAATAGTAATTAGTTCAGTGTTCCTTCACCATTGAATAAGTAAGTGATTAGCTCAAGGACACACTGGGGCTCTGTGAGGGCCCTCTGAGTGTCCACAGGTTCCTGTGGGCTTCTCCTCCACCCTCACCCCTGCTCTGTGATGAGTGGCTCACTGTCAGATCCCCCACTGTCCAGGGGTATCTGAAGGGATGGGTGGGGCCATCTCTGATCACAGCCCCCTGCCTGACACCCCGGTGTGGTAGGTAGTCAGCGTTAGTGGAGTGAAGAAAGAGAACCACCCCTCCCTTGACTCAGTCTGAATCCACAACCTGTGTTTTTCCATTTTGCTACACTATTTTCAAAACGTCAACCTTAAATTCAACACATTTTTTTTTTTAAAAAAAAACCTCACTGGAAACATACTCATTTTTGTGTGTGTTTGGAGCAGTGAGCTCAATCTACAGGTCTGTTGGCTGGTCTGTAACCTCAGTGGGAACCCCCAGACTTCCATGAAAGAAGTTAGCTGTCCTCATCCCGGATTTGGGGAGCTGCTAAGGCTGTCTGCTGAGGGGTGAGCCCACCACAGCATAAGCAAGAGAGCCCTAAGCTGTGGCCTCAGTCCTCTTCGGCATCTCAGAGGGAGACCGGTGCCACTTGCTGAGCCCCTCTGGCTGTTTCACATTACACCATCCTCTCTCCAGTGGGTGCTGCCCACCCCGAGAGCTGCTATCTGCAAAGGGCTGGGAGTCCCCCATCTCACGTGTTTCTTGCATTGTGGCTGCAGCTCTATTGGGAAGAGGGAGCTAATGTTTGGGAGATTCTTTGGTCTGTCAGAGATGCCTGTGACCCACAGGCAGACAGAACAAAGCCCAGCTCTTCTGCCTCTGTCAAAGCCTGGCCCTAGGGAACACACCCTGAGCTAGGTGGCAGTGCCCATGCTGCCTTTTCTGGAGGAATCTTGGAAGGGCTAGATTTGAGAATGCCACTTGGAAGTGGGAACCTGCACTGCCTCTGGCTGTCATGAGCTTATCTTTCTTCCCCAGACCGTCTCTGTCTTCAGGTCTGGCTCTTCCCCAGAATTCCTGCAGCTGGTGAAAATCTGTTTTCTAGAAAAGGTTTAATTAATGCCTGCAATCTGTGAGGAGAGAGATAGGGTGGGGAGGGAGAAATAGATTCTTGTCTCTGGAGGCGGGAAGGGGAAAGGATGGGAGAATATTCAAGGTCCTGAAAATTCAGGGAGAGGTTTTGGCCCCAGCACCTATCCTGGGACAAAGTCCTTGGTTTGCGGACAAGGTCCTTGGTTTGTGGGCAAGGAAGTACAGCCACATTCTGGAGTAGGGGTTGCCAGTCAGGAGAAGAGTCACCGAGGAAATGGTAGCTTGAGCAAGATTGGCCTGGGGTTTGGCCCCGGGGAGCCATGTTACTTCTGAGATCCTCAGGGGAGTGTCAGGGGAGTAGCAAAAGGAGCAGCCGCTCAGAGGGTCTTTGTACCTGTACTTAATAGGGGGTAGAGAAGAGGGAGCGGCCTTCCAGGAGGATGGAGGGCCTTTCCATACAAGCAGCCTTCCTGGGATTCTTCTTGAACCTTCTGGGCACCCTCACAGGTAGACTCAGGCCAGTAAGAGCCTTTCAACCTGGAGATAGTGCAAGGCGGCCATGAGCAGGTGCCTGTGAAACTGGAAAAAATGGCAGGGTCTGCTATGGGTCCAAAAGGCAGAGGGCCCAGTCACTTAACTGAGCCCCAGACTCAGCCTGCCTACCCTTCACCCCTAGAATGTGCAGGTGGCTCCGACCCTTCTTGGACTTTGGTTAAGGACGCTACTGGCTTTTGGAAAAAGATGAATCTCCATAAAGGGAGGAACAATCCTAGAGCATAGAAGAAGTTGATGATTAAAAGACATGGAAGAAGAACTTGGAGGAGCCCCATGGAGTAGTTCTTGCAGCCAGGAGGCAGCCTTTGCCATGTGCCCTTTGCTGGGTCATCCTCCACCCCTACCCCATCCTTCTGCACTTCAGCAGAGCTGCCTCTCTGCTGGGTACTTTGGGGTGGAGGAGAGTTTGGGGAACTCAAATGTCTAGTAGTAGAGACTGAAGGAAAAAATTCTTGTTGTATTTGCAGAGTCACTTCCCTGACTCACACATTTATGTTTCTGTTTACAAGGCATCCTTCCATCACCTGCTTGCTGCCCACTGTGCCTCTCTGCGTGGTCAGCTTCCTTAGGAAAGCTATAATCAATAGCATAGAAACCAGAGCCTTAAAAAGCAGACTGAATATTATCGCACCTGGTTTTGGTACTCACACTCCCTCCTCTCCTGTTTGTGGTTAGGGCCATCATTTATACCAAGTTTACAAATAGTTTGAATGCTGTTGTTGGTCCTGCCCTTCAGTTGTTTGGAGACACGTGTCTTTCCAACCAATAAAACCACAGCTCATTTTCCTAGGCTTACCTCATTCTTGGATCCACCACCAACCTCCCAGCCTTCAGAGATACAGCAATATCATTCTGAGCTATCTAACTATAAACGAAAGTGAAGCTCTTGCTTTCTAATTTTGTCATGTGCAAATATAGAAGAAACTGAAGTTAGAATGAAGTATTTACTATCTTATTAACTCTTTTAACTAAAATAAAAGAGGCAGTTGGAAAAGTTATTAAAGTTAGAAATGTTTAGAAGCTCAGAAATAATGATGGGACATAGACTTACAGAAATATACTATTATGCTTTAAATATAGTTACTAAAATATAGATAGAAGTATGAACTTTTTCGAAAGTATAGATAAGTATAAAAATTTTGAGAAGTACAGATTAATAAGTATTGAAATTTTGATTCAAGTTTTATGCAGTGTATTAACAATGACAATCATATGTTATGTTTATAGAGTATCTTACTGTGTACCTAGGCACCTGTGTCCATGATTTTATTCAGTCCTTCCAGCAAGCCTGGGATTTTCATAAAATCATGAGAAAGCCCCTCAGGGTGATTAAAAGACTTCCTGTAGAATTCAAATCTCTTCAACAGAGAAGTACAGAGGGGGCCAAAAAAAAAAAAATTGAACATACATTTTAAGAAAGGAATAAGACTATTAAAATTGTGATAATATCTACCAATAACAAAAGATGAATACAAGTCACAGCGAGCACCTCTTTTAATTGCAGAAATCAAATGTGACTTAAATATTACATTATATTCATTTTTTGTTATTAGTATATATTATTACAATTGTAATACAGTTTTCACCTTTCTTAAAATGTTTATACGTTTTAGGCGGCGCCTGTGGCTCAGTGAGTAGGGCGCCAGCCCCGTATACCGAGGGTGGCGGGTTCTAACCCGGCCCCGGCCAAACTGCAACAAAAAAATAGCCAGGCGCTGTGGCAGGCGCCTGTAGTCCCAGCTACTCAGGAGGCTGAGGCAGGAGAATCA